GGAAAACGGATGACAAAAAAAACTTTTTTCCAGTTAACGGAGATACGTTAATGACACTGTTTTCAATTCCATCTATTTGGCGAACGCCTGATAGTGTTGTGAATTTTTTTTTATACTTAGGTTAAACCGCATTCGAAAATGTTTACAAAATTAATCTATAGAAAATTATTTATACTTCAAGTTATTTCTATTAACATTATAAATCAAATAATTGATTGAAAAATATTAGAACAAATTACGTTTTAAATAAAGCAACACTTTCATAACGAGTGTAGTATGAAATATGAATAATAAAAACCAAATTAATTAATCATAATTCATGAATACATAAATAAACACTAAAAATAGCATCTTCTTCTCCTTCGTCGAAATTATTTGGGGTCGTCTACAAGCTTAAGAAAATATCATAAGTATTAAAATTGTGTAACTTTTTGTCGTCATGTATTATTCTGAGACTAACTCAGCATTATGCTCAAACCTAATTATTAAACCATAACAAAAGAAAAATTATAATTATTATCATTTACTATTTACAGAAAAAGGGGAGCAATGTTTAGGGTTCACTCTCTCGGACTAGGCTTACAATTTTCATGTGTAGATTTAATTTCTAAAGTACATCTTAGTACATCTACAAAAGTTCAATTGATGTTTATAGTTTTTTCAATGTAACTGATTATAAAAACAACGAGTTGAAATGAGCGTTGCGCTATTGATTATAAACACAAAGTTATAATATTACAAATTACAATCGATAGTTTAACTTATAGCAATTCGAGTGTCATAAAAAATGTAAGCCGCTTTAGTTAAACGAAGTAAAATTAGCGCACCGGTAGAGTTTATACGAAGGTCACGAACACTAGGAATTTGCTGGCGTCCAATATGATAATAGTTAATACTAGTATCATTTCATATTCATGTCCGTACGAATCGACGGACTTTTATTGCGTTCAGTTTGTACCTTCGCCAAGCGCCATTAAAGAGCGAGGATCGTATTATTCACATAAAGTTTATCGCGCTCACGTCGGCCAAAGAAAATAGGAAAAGGCGGTACACAGAGTACGTAGAGGAATAGAACCGCGAATGACTTCCAAGTGTTGGCCCCGTACGCTCTTCTTTCGAGAGCGTTACACCTTTGGCAGTAGAAATTCCATATCGACTCGACGAACTCCTGTGTTTTATGGCCGACGCTCTGACGCGGTTGCCGTGGAAGATATTGAAATAAAATTCGGTCGGTGCCAAAAGTTGGCCGGCCAACTAATATGGTAGACTGTAAATCACAGTTACCTAAGCGTCGTCGTCGTCGTCTGCACAAAGGGTCAAGTTTCACCAACAACCGCGTATAGACTCGGTATTTGACGTTATACAGTAAACAAGCACATATTTTTAACGTATTCAGCTCGCCTTCCGTCGCCGGTGATGTTAGTTCCATAATAATAGCCTGGGTACACCTTCTTTGAAAACAATAACCAAAGTTACGGTGACTGCGCGAAACTCTGGCATTAAAGTCTCAGACACGACGCGGCGGCACCCATTTAAGATAATATGGTAGGTCTGACACGGCCGAAGCGTCTACACAAATAATACACACGTGTACTTCACATACTTGTCGAACGGTAAACGGGTATTTTCGTTTTGGCTTTCTGAGATATTAAGAAAAGGATTAAATAATTCCCGTCGACGAAAATCGGTCCAAACCGTTCTGAGTAACTGTTTGTTGTTTTAGAAAAACAGCTTATTACTCGAGAATTTGTAAGCGTCACACACTTACCGTTCAACGAAGCGTTTTGAAAACGCTTTTCCCGTTTATCTCCCTCCTTCGAGGGTTACAAAGCTGTGACGTAGTCGTTCCGCCCCGTTGGGTTTCACAGGCTTCAATCCGCAGTTAAACTGCTCGAAAATGAAGCTCAATGGTTTTTTTAACTGACTTAAGTTTTTGCGTAATTAATAAATTATGCATAAGGCGCGAGTGACGTAGTAAAAATAGCGTAGGTATACGGTCGCTAAACATTTACTGTTTTCATTGTGTCTTCTTACAGCGAATCGTGATACGCATTTATATAGAACCAGAACGTTTAAAAAATATAATTATAAGTAAACTAGACCGGAGACGCGTAAATACAATACTATATAGTACATAAGAATATCACGGAAGCCGTTTGCGATCTTGTAACCTTACATTACAATTTTTTTATGCCCCATAATGAATAATGTTCATTTCAAAAATTGTCTAATTTATTAAGTTCTCAATCGGAGTAAAATGTTTTATCGAAATTATTAATGCATATTTTTTTTTAATTAACATATTATAATTGTTGTACAGTAAAGCCTGTTATGAACAAACGTTTAGTAGAATGTCTAACGTAAAACCATTTATTCAACAGAATAATACCTGGTTTAAAAACATATAAAGCATCTATTGCTTAAACGATATCTTACTTTAAAACCATCCCATATTTTGCTAAATGCTTTTGGCATTTAAATTTAATTTTCCCTTTGTTTTCTTATATGCTTCTTTGTGTAACTAACGCACTAAAATATTATTACCAATTCTTCTTTTGTCTTCTCTCTTAACTTGTTTATTTTTTGAAAATGTTTTTGTTGTTTCGGTTTCATATTTCCTCGATTTTGTTGCATAACTCTTTTTCCTCTTTTGTTCCTAGTCCTTAAGCTTTTCTCTGTAAATTAATATACGTACCAGTTCAAACTCTATCAACTTGGAATTACTTTCTATACAAACTAAAAGGTTAAGGAAAAGTTGACAATTTCTTTTTTAAATTTCAAGTAACTTTAGTTTTTTAACTGAAGCTTTGATATGCATTTGTATATGTGTAAGTAAGTTTAAGTAGTAACTATAACATACTGTATGGATTTATCTTTCTTTTTTATATAAATATCTAAAGTTTAATTTCACAAATTTGTGTTAGATAGCTCAGATCGTGAAAATAACTGTCGGCTAAAAATTGAAATCAAACTAAAATTATTGGTTAACATTTCAGTTAACAGTTCAGGTTAACAGTCCAAAATAATCCTTGAAAATTACAACAAATAAAAACTCAAAACAATGTTATAACTAGTGAAACTAATACTTTTATAGCGTCGCGTCAAAACAAATAAAAACAAGTATATAATAAATATTATTAAAAACCAAAAATACAGATAAACACTTAACGGTAACACGATACTTAGTGATAAATGGAACGCATTACCGAATTAAACACAAGCATGTGTCCAAAGTGCGATTGATAAAAGAATAACGTGTATTTATTAGAACTTAGTACTAAATACATCATTTGTCGACACTTAATTTCTTTAAACACGTATTAAACTAATTATTATTGGATACTTAAAGATCCTGATGAATAGTAATTAGGTATTAAAAAGTAATATTTAGGCGACATTTACATGATATGCAAACAAGCTGTGCAAGTTTGTAGCAATGCGTTTTTACATGAAATAAATATTCGCAGCTCGCACCCACATGCACAAGTCAATTACTGATTACGATATTAATATAATATATTTTAACACGGCGTACTAGTTAGGCAATATTAATACGTATCTTTATTCAAAATTAACTGTTGCCGCTATATGGCTTTCTATACGAAGTAACTTCCACTTAATATTTTCTACAAGATAAATTTAACTGTCAAAATTTATAATTCATTAAAATATAATGTTTACTGATAATCACCCCGAACAAATTGCATATTTTTATTTATTATTTCCAAAGCTACATAATATACAGGGTGATCAACTTATCCTGAACCACTTAACTCACTCGGTTTAATTAATTATTGCATTTTTTTTCATAATTTCTCACTTTTTTCGTTTGATTTTACCCTCTCCCGACCTAGTTTTTTGATAGAAACTTTTGAAACCTAAATGGTAACGCATACATTTCATTAACTTTTTAAATTGAGAATAATGTACTAAACATTTTGACTGGTCGATAAACAGGTTTGGACAACGTTTTTAAAGTTATAAGAGGTTTAAAGTTAAGATGGGAGTGGAAGTACGGTTGGGAAATGCGCGCAGATAAAAATACCTAACCTAACCTAACCAGTTTCGGATAACTTTTTTTGAAACTATAAGTTTAAAAGTTAGGATGAGAGAGGAAGTGGAGTGTAGTATTTTTTTTATCTGCGTGCATTTCTCAACCGTACTTCCCCTCCCATCCTAACATTTAAACTCTTATAACTTTAAAAATAGTTGTTCAAAACTGGTTATCGACCAGTCAAAATGTTTAGAACATTATTCTCAATTAAAAAGTTAATGACATTTTTGCGTTACCATTTAAGTTTCAAAAGTTGCTATAAAAAAAACTAAGTTGCGGGAGGGGTGTAAAAACAAAAACAAAATGTGAAAAATTGAGATAACATTGTAAAAAAATTCAATTATTAATTAAACCGAGTGAGATATTGAGTAGTTCAGGTTAAGTTGATCACCCTGTATATATTACTAAGACAAATTTTAAATTAAAACGCATACATTTCTAAAATAGGTGCCACGCTAAAATGGCTCGGGTCTAATGCTGTAAACAAATATATTTTAAGCAAAATGAGGTAACTTGAAACACAAAATGTGTCGTTGTAAAAATACCACTTCGGGTGGTAAATACGAGTATTATGACAATATGAAAATAGATTCGATTTGTATGCAAATTCAGTTGATGAGCCACTTCATAAAACAGCGGTGGTTAAAACTATAAATGCAATTCAGACTGTCCCTTTTGGGGACGGTTGGTCACGACCATAGATGGTATCTGCGAGAGTTGGGACTTCGGTGAAAAATAATAAAGATTAAACGAATTAAAACTGCGATAAGACGAAGATGCTATAGTGATATTTTATGATTATATCGACATTACAAAACAGAATAATACTAAAAATTAAAATAATCTCCTTTTATGTGTACACAAAATTGAATATTCAATCATGAATACCCTTCAAAACATTTATACAAGTACAAAATTACTGAACTGTTTTGTATTTTGCTTACAGACGGTTCGATAGATTCGCCTTCACAAAGCGGCAATCTAAACTACTGGGAACAACCATACTCGCAACCTTACTTTGACAACGGCACCAATCGAGACGTGACCGCAACTGTGGGACAGATGACATACTTGCACTGCAGAGTGAGGAATCTTGGTGATCGATCAGTAAGTCAAATCCGTTTTAGGATATTTAATAGGAAAAGCTATATAGATGAGGAGAGACAAAAAAGAACGGTCATCCAGTTTGACTAATGTCAGCATAAACACAACTATAATGTTGTTTAATATATTTTTGGAACCCAAACCTATTGTTATACGCCTTATTATTTTATTACATGCATAGTTCTGTAAATAGTATGGGTCATATTTTTTTTTTTATTCGTGTCAGGTGCATAGTACAACAGTAATAATAATAATGGTAATAATAGTATAACATAAATCTATATATATATATAAAATCAATTTTTGTTTGTTTGTCCTTTATACATTAGTACACACCATTCATCCGATCGCCATGAAACTTCGGGAAGTTGTTGAGTACACTCCCGCAAACCTAACTAGCATAGTACTTTTCAAAAATTCCACCCCTAAGGATGACCTCGAACACGAACTTTGTACTTTAAATACGAAATGTAAATAAATTAAATATTTGTAACTATAGTAACCTAAAAAAACACTTGGTTTGTAACAATGGTAACCACGACACTTGAGCAAATGGTAGGTGATGATTAAAAGAACAGGCCGATTCTAATTTCTATAATTCCTAATGGGAATTATTTTATTCAGCCCTGGCAGACTAAATCTCGAGCAACGCCTGGTCCGGACAGCTTGTAAATAAATAAAAATAACATTAATAAACAATACATAATAAAATAAATAAGGTGAAATAGCATTACCCTAAGTAACATAAATTAAAATATAATATAATGTTTAATATGATATTGTGACATTGTTGAGTGTTTTAGGACGTTATTAGCGGATTTATATTGTTTCGACCCAGATGCGGGCCACGTTAATTCCTTGGCTTGTGCCTTTTTGATTGTCTTCTGGGGTGCAAATGTGGGAACAAGTTGTGCATGTGATGATGTGTTGCATATCTGTTCTTCTCCGCGTAGGCACAAGGTGTCTGCGCTATCTAGCAGTCCCCATTTTATTAGATTATCTTTCGTTCGTCCTATTCCTGTCCTGAGTCTGTTTAGTATGCGCCAAACCGGCCATGGGTCATATGACTATTGCAGATGGTTCATTTTCAATTCAGGATTTCAAATGTTATACACGAGTCAAAACGCAGTTATAACGGTGTGACATTCAACGTCTTATCTTTTTTTTTGGATAATTTTAAAAACATAACAGTAAAACCTCTATACTTATCTTTATATTTAAAATCTATACCAACTCAGTTACATTTAAACTCGATGTACATATAACATAAAAAAAATAAGAATTAATAAATTACCCATCTAAATAAAGTTGGGAAGCGAGTTATTATGGAATCTTATTACATTGAATTTATACAGGTACCATCACGTACAAGAGATACCACGGTCGGGATATTTTAAAACAAAAAGATGCTCTTCCAAAACTCTAAAATAATAATAATACTTAATAGTGTACGTTTTTATTACGTTTTTTACTTTGTAAGATCTATGATCTAGATCGACTAAGATTATCCGGTAAAGAGAAAACAGTTACCATTATTATTATAAACGGCATGCAATCAAAACTTTAAAAGGTGGCAAAACGCTTGTTTACTGACCTAGTTTTCTACCTTTTTCTTTGCTAGTTTTTTTTTATACTGTATTAATTTCAATATTATGTTGGATTTCACTGTACTCGATTTATATAGTAATTAACTATTAACTAACTAATTATAATGTTAACTAAACGTTAACATTTCGCAAATCTAGTGCACCCTATAAAAAAATACTTTTAACCCCTCCCCCAATACATGCCTTTTTCGACTCGATCTAATCGTTTTGTCGAGAAACTATAGAAAGCCAATTTGAAGGCGGTTTTGGGGTCAAGGAGTTGACTTTTTAACCAATGAGTGGTTTCTCTACACAATCTATTCATGATATTTTCTCTATTAGCTCTAATACCTATTGTAAAACAATATTTACAGATTGCATTATTTAGTACTAAAATATTTTCTTGAGTATGTGAACAAATTTGAAAAATATTATATTTTTTCAATACTCGTGAATGAGATCACATATGTTAATATTTAAAGTAAAAAGTATATTATTTACAAATGTTATTACTTTACGTAATAGCGTAACATACTATTTTTTCCATAAGTTTTTTCAAAATTAAAATTTGTTTGGTTTAAGTTGAAAACTATTTGATCACATTTTCCCCTAGTTGAAAAGATTAAAAAATCTAGACAGTATTATTGAGCTGGCTTGGCAGCGTTTTGTAAATTTGTGTTTTGTTTGTACAGAGCCTAACCGCAAAAGACGTTGCGAAGATAACCGCAACGTTTTTTTTGTTTTCGACTCATTCTAGTTAGCCGCTGCGATAAGCGAACAATCTTGTACAATGCAATAAACACTAATGGAAATGAAACGGTCGGTGGGTGGCGGCAGCTGTAGATGAATTAAAGCTCAGCGTATTTGTCCCTACTCAAAATACAACATGACAAAGCCTTCTACTGGACTGATAATCTGCCATTTTATGTGTACAATAATCGTGTCAAACGTAGCTTTGTTTTCACGAGTACAGATGTTATGTTTCATTACCGCGCTCTCCATATGTTCTCATTTTAATCGGTAAACCGCGTTTCAATAAAATGACATATTAATTTATCCGGAAAACGTACAGCCATCAATTAGCGCACGCTAATAATTATTGCTATGCTAACATTATACCAGCTCGAAGGGCCATACAAAGTACATTTTTATTCTTTCCGGGGGACACATCGATTCTGATCCGATCCAGCCGACGCGACGGTAGGCTAATGTAACTCATGTCCTATTCCGTTATGAATTATAATACCAAACACATATCTAATGGATTTATATCCAAGCGTTTTTAACATAAATTAACTCTGGAGTGTGCTTATTTTTCTACGATAAACTATATGAAGTTCAAAACGGTAAAGCAACAAGTTCCTAGGCCCTAGAGGGAAGCACCGTGATCTCAACCATAATGATTTAGCGCGGATTGCATACCGATTAATTTGCTAGTTTCAACTACCGAAATCACACATCGTCTCATCAAAATTATTATTTGAAACTTCATCGATTTTCATTTTATTATCAACCAAATATAATTTTCCATTCAGCTGCTTCAAAATAATCCAATTTGTTTGCTGATCAAGCTACACAAATTTAAAATTTACCTTTAAGTAAATTCCTTTTGGTAATGACGTCTATAAAACAGTGGTATGAGGCACTTATCTTGGTATACAAGTTCTGCTATTTGGAAGCAAATGTAAGAAATTAAAATGTGGAAGTGTCACTAATGAGTGGTTTCTTCCATCAAAATGTATTCATGTAATTTATCTCTACTTTTATCATACATGCTTATTGTGCTCATTGTACAGATTGTATATTTCTAATGTAAAATAAAAAATAAAAAATAACTTAAAATAAATCAAAGAAACATTTATTTGTAAATTCAAAGATAAGGGTGATTAAATGTGTAAGTGCAAATTAATAATACATCATTTTTAATACAATCTTTATATTATTTATAAGCATGTATTTATTATTTTATAGCTCCCTCAACAAATTTGGTTGTATGCACAGTTAATTATTAGTTTTAATTGTAATAATGGTCAAAGAGTTGTTATTGCAATGTACAAGCTGAACTTTTATCCAATCACTTCCATTAATTTCCATCTATGACGACTAAAATTTGTTTACATATAAATACACAAGTTAAATTAAGAATAACATAAAACAAAAAAACAGCAATATATAAAAAGAACGTTAACTTATTAAACAGTAACCAAATGGTTTAATATATTAAAAAATACATTAGTTTTTATAAACACGTTTTCCATTTAATTTTACATTTGCTGAAGTATTGCATAAAACATTAATGGTATAAACCTAGTTTGGGTCATTACGATCTACAATAGTTTATGGAACTAATATAGTATTGTACAACCAGTATTAGGCTATTGGTAGAAATAGGAAGACGGGTTTTTTATTAATAATATGAGAAGATATTTGGCCCCTTTCGCCATTTAACCTATTTGTACTTTTAAGCGTATTAATACGTTACTTGACCCATTAAACTTTTTGAAATTCGCTGTTTGCACTAGAAATTTTAAAACATAATTTTTAACGATATTAATATCTTCTTATAATATTATGTTATTGGAAACTATTAATTTAATTAACTAACGCAAATGGCTTTTTTTACAGAGTGCTACTATTTCTTTTTAACTTTAACTGTCAACAAACCTTGTTCATTTTTAACTCATACTAAATATAATATAATTAGTCTAAAGATGTTTCATATTTTTCCTCAGAAGACTCAGATAGCATTTACTTTTTTTTCACCCTGTCTAATATAAAGAATAAATTACTTTAAGAGTCTTATATATTCATACAAAATGTATTATTCTAAATTGAACTGCTACCTTAACGTTTTCCTTTTTAAACACGCATACCCTATAAGGCTATAGAATATATCCACACAAATTAAATTTTTAAAACCTTATTTTACTATACACGCAACCTTATTTCTTTAATACCTCAAATGTGTGCAATTACAAGCTCATTGCTATCCTATAATTTAATAAACTGCCATAGCTTACTGAAATATCTACTTAATTAATTTATAAAGATATTTGTAGAGTAATCAGTTATTATAATATAGTTATTATGAAATAAATTTCACAATAATTATGGTATTCATAACTTTAACGGCTCGTGCATTTTCCGTCATAATAAAAACTTCAATAGTATCATATTAGATTGTGTGTTCTGATTCGAGTAAACCAAAAGGCCAATCACAGAACTGGTATGCACGATTATAATTTATTTTATAAAACGTTGAAAATTAAATATAAAATAAATCCAGTGTGTGGGGGTCTACAAAAATATTCCCTGGCTTTGTTTTCGAATATCGGAATAGGAGTCGACCATAATTTTACCTATAATGTAATCGAAAATAGGAACATTTAGCAGTCTGTCTGTGGATGTGTGTGTGTGTTCGTCTGTGAAATTGTTATGTCCTTCGATGGCGACTTAGCGGATTCGAATTTTCTTCTAAACTTTTACCAGTAAACCAGTATAATAACCAGTTCAGTTATCAAGATGAATTAATTAAAATTTGGTGGTATTTGGGTTTCATTTTGACGGGAACTTTTGTTTCGCGGTATATTGCACGTTAAATATGAGTCATTGATTTTTTTTTTCCTTAGTAAAAAAAAAATTGATGACAAATTTAAAAAAAACACCGTATATATTATAACCCCGTTTTAGATCTACCATTACTTTAATTTTTAGATATTAAGTCTTAAAATTTCACTTGAAAGAGGAATAAGCTTTGTTATGATGATCTTTATCAAACAAAAACGACACCTGTATATTGAAACCTTCAAAAACTTTATTAATTGTAACGTCTAATATCGTCGACGGTTCTCTCATGTAATAATATATATACAGGGAGATTATTTTATCATGGGCCTCTCAATATCTCATAAGGTTTAATAAGAAATTACATTTTTTTTGAATATTTTTTTTATATAATGTGATCTCAATTTTTCACATTTTTTTTGTTTTTACCCCCTTCCTAACTAGTTTTTTTGATAGCAACTTTTGAAACTTAAATGGTAACGCATATATTTCATTAACTTTTTTAATTGAGAATAATAATGTACTAAAAATGTTGACTGGTTGAATGGAACTCTATTTGTTAAACCCAGTATAAGTTTAAAAAAACGAAACTTATCATAGTTGCTGCTATGATACAAATGGCAACATTATATTTTAATATTTGTTTACCTTTGCTTTTGTCTCGAGATCCGTTTACGGTTTTAAACAGAGACAAATTGATCGATTTATGTTATTATAATTTATATCCAAAAAATATTTTTCATAACTGTTTTTTAAAAAAATGTAATTCCACAAAAAAAGTAGTACAGTTTGTCGCTGTTTAACTTTGCAATTTATTTTTTTTACTACAGAAGCAAAATTAGTTCGATTAAAAATAATGTAGCTCGCGCTGAATCCCTAAGCGCGTTTCCAAAGCCATCTCGTGTAGTACGCACGTACCGCGTTTATGTTTTTTTTTCTTATTTGCTCTTTCTCTCAAAGCAAACATGTTTTGCTATTCCATCAGAGTTTTTGGCCGTGTTATCTTTTAACGGCATCAGCTCAGGCGCCCTCGATTTGCCCCGTGATTTCTTTTACCTCTTTCTTATTCCTCCGCTGTCTCTCTTTTGGCCAAACGTAACAACTTCACGTATCGAAAGTGCATTGTCTCTTATTTTCTTTTTCTTTATTATTATTATTTTCATTATTATTATTTATTTGATGTTTTTACATTCTAGGTGTCTTGGATCAGAAAACGTGACCTGCACATTTTAACGGTTGGCATACTTACATATACCAATGATCAGCGTTTCCAATCGCTTCACTCGGACGGGTCCGACGAGTGGACTTTAAGGATAACGTCTCCACAAATCAAAGACTCTGGGACTTACGAGTGTCAAGTGAGCACCGAGCCGAAGATCAGTCAGGGATTCCAGCTAAATGTAGTCAGTAAGTACCATATCGCTTGGATACTCGATTTACTCGATTGACACGATAGCGAGGACATTGTGCGTGACCAAAGCACTAAACTTAACATGACCTAGTGCATCAGTATTCGAAGTGTAATAGTTTTAGTTTAAGAATTAGGTGGATAAAACAAAGATCGAAATAAACTATTTCAAAGGCTTAATCAATTTTTTTCTCCGGAAGATTTCATGAAAAAAATCTCTAATGTCATTTAAAATGCTTTTCTTAACCGCAAAATAATACAAAAAATATATACATGGAACACTGTGAGTCAAACCACGCGGTCATCGGCCTGACCTCCTCAATGTTTTTTTTTTACTCATTTTGGTCTAATACAAAACCTTTATTTTTTTGAAATTTTTGCCTCAAAATAGAGGTTTTTTAAGTTATTTTTCAAAAAAAATAGATTTCGACCGGTTTTAAATTTCTGAAAATTTTATCATAAATTCAGACTCAAATCAAATCTTTTCGTCTAATAACGGGAGTGAGCCGAGATTTATTTCTATTTTTTTGTTAATAACCACGAAAATTCTAATTTTTATTAAAACCGCGTACAAAAGTCTTATTAATATTAATTAGGTGTAATTATTAATACTAACGATCATTTTACCGCCATCCTATATTTATGAATTTTGGTGTCTTTATATCTTTTGTTCTAATAAAGATACTGTTGTGATAACTCACATGTGAATAACTGTTTGTATTTTTAAATAATAATAACTAGTTATGTAATTTAATATACTGATATTTCCCTTTAAGTTTAGTAAATATTATAATATTTATTTATTATTATAGTATTACTAACTATAGATACTTACTATTTTTTTATGGTTTTTTTTTTATGGCATTTTCGTTATGCAATATTGATACATTTTTTTAGATCATTTGTACTGGATTTAGAAGAATACATTTCTGTGCCTTGAATTTAAAAGGGCCAATGTCAATTTCGGGTATAAACGTATTAGGCCACTAAATACAAACATTAAAACATCCTTTATACACCGCGAAGACATGACAATCTAATGTCAAATATTAAATAACTTCTAAGAGTAAAAACATTAACAAACAACTTAATGGAAAATAATAACTTTAAAGCCCAACGACCAAAAGTTACAAAAAAATGTGATTGCCCCTTTTAGAACCAAGGTACAGATTTAATTTACATGAGTGTTTTAAGTAATATTTACTAAAGTCCATTTCTCCCCTCGCCCCCAAAAACAAATCTAACAGCGAGTCTTCTAACAGCGCCCAGACCATTTATACTTTACCTATATAATCGTAGAATGAATTCAATAATATAATGATAATAAACAATTATAAATCTTAATAACATCGAGTAATACTTAAGTAGAGTAGTATTAAAATGTTCAAACCCGGGTTTCATTATCCGTTATTTATTTGTTCAGTTCAAAATTATGTTCGTGAACGTAAACTTGAAGTAACGTTAAAAAAAATTTACTCCAAAAATTTTATAACGAATAACGTTTTAAATTTATTTGTTCCGAATATTTTATAATATATTATAACGTTAGTTATACGTTTATTTTGTTCCGAGAACGTCATAATGAATATTTCCATATTATACTTATAACAATATTATAAATATGTATGTTTTTTGGTTTGCTGAATTCAAATTTGGTATCAATTTTAAAAGCAACTTTCTCCTTCAGGAATTTTAAGGGTTAACTTTTAATGTATGGAAACATGTTTATGTCAAACAAATATTATATACGTTACTATAAACTTTCTCAATGTATATAAATGTATAACAATATTCGTTTTAACGTTCTCAGGGTAAAACAAAGTATAATGTTATTCGTTATAACGTTCTCGGGAGAAAAAAGATTATAACGTTATTCGTACTTTGTTCTAACGTTCTCGGGTAAAACAAAATAATAACGTTATTCTTTATAACGTTCACCAAACATATACTAAAATTATGTTATGTTGTGTAAACTTTATTTTGGTGAACGAAATAATTCAGTTTATAACGTTATATTTCATTGCGTTACGGAACCCTGGATCTTACTATTATTAACGTTAAAATAATATTTTACCTTTGCAAAGGAATAAAATTTCATTTAAATGGTAAAACTTTCAAAGCTTTGCATATTTTATTTTTAATTATATACAATTATCAGAGTTATAAAGTTAATCTATGGACGTGAGCCAAACTTCCAACAGTTTTTTTTAATTTCTAAGCAATTTACAACGCTGGACTACACGCTTTTAATAATAATAGCACTGTAATGTTACCTTTGCCTTGTGTTTTGGTAGAGATATAAAATAATAATAACAGCATAAAAAAATATACTTTATATTTTTTTCTAATCTGTTATTTTAAATGTTAAAAAATAAATGCAGAAATTTATTATACACGCGGGAATATAGGCTCGAAAAAAACTTTTAAAGTCACATTTATTGTTTTTTTTTATTGATAAGTTGACTAATCTATTGATGCATATTCGAAACATATTCATGACAATCTATTATTTATACATTCATCAATTGGGCATTCATTTAACAAAACTAAAAAGCGTCCGACTATTTATTGATAAAAACTTGTTAGCGACCTCTTTGAGTATAATACTAAAACCAACACGATTATAATACTTGCTCTTTTCGAAGCAGGCCTAAAGTTTTATTAGATCAAAGCAAAATCTTAATTAGATTCGCACGTTTCCTTGATCAATGCAAATGTAATTGCCGAAGCCGTACGCTAATATCCCGTTGACCTATTTTCCTTGCAAATTGCAAAATTATTCTCTGCCAATGATCTCACTTTATCTTGATTACCTACTAATATTGAACTTGAGTATTACGCCTGTAAGTAGCATAACTACCCTATGCTAATATTTCGATTCTAATACTGTTTAACGAGGTGCTTTGTAAATACCAAATACTCGGTAGAGTAAAGATGTATGTAAAAGTAAATCCAATTTCCATTTATTATTTATTTTTTTACACATGAGAAATCAACTAATTTTGTAATTTCATGCAAATTTGTGGAGGTGTAGGTTGTAGAACAAGTTGTATTTATGAAACATACGAAACAGTTGAAGTTGACTACTAAACTTGTCATTTTATCAAAGGGTATCTCACGCGATTTTACCAATTATACATAGATATATAAGAAATAATTTTTTTTTTTACTGCACGAGACGTTAAGTCTGGATTTTGAAGAACGTCGAAAGCTGTTATTTATATAAGAAAATATAAAGATTTATTACGATATTAGTCTATAATTAGTATCATCACATTCCATGGATTTTTTTTAATGATTTCACAATTCCCATTGCTACTTCCCTTCAAATCAGTAGCCGCAATGAACCCATTGTTTGAATTAATTAAAATTAAAGTTCTATTCATACAGCGATATCGGCGCGATTGTTGGATCTATTGGTCCAATGAAAATTTTAAATACCATTGTTTCATTTAATTTTGATGTAGACCGTTTAGATTAAATACTATACAATCTTTCGTTGCATCATAACATAGTAAGTAATTGAAAAGTTACATTGCTTATTGTTTCAGTATCAAAAGCCAAAATCATCGGCAACACGGAAATATACATTCGGAGCGGTAGTGACATCAACCTGACATGCGTGGTCTTAGAAACTCCAGATCCGCCTAGCTTTATCTATTGGTACCGCGGCAAGGACGTGATCAACTACTCTGGCCGCGGAGGCATTAGTGTAGTAACCGAAAAACAGACTCGCACAAGTCGTTTACTCATATCAAAGGCCCAACCACCGGACACAGGCAACTACACGTGCGCACCGTCGGCGTCTGACTCGGCCAGCGTCACCGTGCATGTCCTTAATGGTAAGCTCATTTTCTGTATTGACTGTAGACTAATATTAATACTGATTATTTAGACCAACTCAAACACAAAATGAAGTGCAATCGTTTTGGAATAGTAACAAAAAATCAAAATGTTAGACCGTTATTTTTCATCTTTAAGATTTAAACGATCCTGTTGAATAACTGCTGAGTGTTAATTTTAACTGGTATTAAGTTTAAGTTTATATGAGTGCATACAAATTTCGAATATATTATTCCCTTATTAAGCGAAGCTATATAACAATGGTCCATGGTAAGGATAATATTTTCCAAATTTTGATTAAACATTGTTTAATCACAAATTTATTAAGGGGCAAAGGATAGGCAAAAGGATTTGACAAAAATTGATATAATAGCCATTTTTCATATGCCTACTAATATCAAGGTGAAAGCATATTAGAATTTTCTAATTATAATACTTTACAATTTTTTTTCTCCGAGTTATGACGAAATTTTGATAAAAAATTACTTACGTAAAAGTCATTTTCTGGCGTATCTATTAGACGGACTTCAGGTTTTTTTATTTTTATGTAAAACTTACTATTTTTTCTATGGGGGTTAAAAGGTAGATTTTTGATTTAGCGATTAAAAAAGTTGTTAGATTTATTAGAAAAAACTATAAAAAAGTATAAATAAAAATTCTTATAAATATTTTTTGAAAACAAAAATTAAAAATCGGCTTTTTAGCTCTCATAGAGAAGATGTTAAACTATAAAACAAATTATTGAAATCGGTTCGGTAGACACTTCGGAAAGTGACTCTGCGTTTAGACTTTATTTGTAAAAATATTGACGATTTCCGTTCCCCTTAAGAAAGCTGATTAATTAACCTTTTGATCGTAGACAATTTATATGAACAGTTTAACTATAAAAATAACTAATTGTATTATAACTAAACTCCATTGTTCTTTGACGTTGTATCAAATTTACAACATGTAAAATACGTAGTATTATTTTTGTTGCCTTATATACCTATTATATAAATAGTTATCTTAGTAACTTGATTTGTTATCTTTGTATTACTAGATATACAACTGTACAATTTGTTATAGATTGAGAATGTACACTTCTGATTAGTAAAATTAGTTTCTTATTTTAATTTTAATAAATACAATATCTCTACCAAATATTGATCTTTAAATTGAAGAACTTAGGATTGCGCAACACTCTGTTTTTTCATTCAATAGCAATAATGTAAATTTGGATAAAACTACAGTTGTATAAGAATACTAAAAATATAGGCCCTTGATGTATATGTATTAAAATCAGAAAATACCATTTTTTTCAGGCGAACATCCAGCCGCTATGCAACACGGGAACAGCAGCAACAGTGCGGTAACCAGGCTACTGCCCATATTTCTGTTGATCGTCTGCCATTCCATTCAAGTGCTATTAGTTACCGATGTCTACGTTCCAGCAGGAGCAGTAAAGCCGTCTAGATGAACGGTATCGAGTGTTTCAAATCAATACGATATATTTTAGAAGAGCTACCAACAACAGAAGACACTTGGAAACGGTGAATTTTTCACTGAAAATGAGAAAATCAGCCTTAGTTCTAATATTCAATACGACGTATTTCAAATTGTAATTCATTTATACTGAACATTTATACAAGCAAAATAACAAATGCCAAATGTTCAAAAATGTACGATAAGAAAATCGTACACAACATTTAAATGTACCATCGAATTGCTCGTTACCAACAAGACAACTCATGTAAATAACACTTACAACAAAATATAACCTGTAAATACTTTTTACAACATTTTACAAATCGTTCCTTGTTGCTAAGTTCCACTAACCAAGTACCTATTAAATATTGTGTTTATAAAATATTATGTAGCTATGACTTGTCAAAATATTAGCCATTCGTATTTAATGTACATAAAGGTACAATAATTTTATTATATATAACTTATTACAATATATATGTATACATATATATAATTTGTTGTATAACTAATTATACAAAATATCGTTACGTTTTTCAACCCAATTTATGTTGTTCGTCCTATATTATTATTAGATGATAATACTACATTAATAAATTATAATTTCAATTGTCAATCGCTTCGACCATGGGTCTGTAAAATGTAATAACATTATTTTGTGTAAATAAAATAAATATTAGTCATAATAGTTTCACTATATATAATATGAATTTCTGTTTTTTTTTTAAGTGTGTAAATTTTATAACATTAATAGTGTTAATGGTACTATACGATTATTGTGAATGAACAACAGTGATATAAAACTTACAGCGAGTAAGAATAACAGGTAATAAATCGACAATTAATATATAAATTTACTGTAAAATATTATAAAATTACAAAGCCGACAAATTTCAACTATTGAAATAAGAAAACAAGAAATTATTGTACTACATTATGTAAATCAATTTAAATTTAAAGTTAGATTACTCACTCTGGTGTAATGATTTCATTTTTGTAATTTTGGAAACGTGTTATGCTTCATTGCTGTACAAAAGTTTTCCAGGTATTATTATTATATTACTATTAAATAAGAAGGTATTTAAAAATCCCAAAAGTATGAATAATCTATTTTTATAAAAAATCGCATTATTTTAAATTAAAACAAAAATGAGTAGTTCTTAATTGAGCAAAGATACTTAAAAGTATTTTAAATAGTAAAAAAATATCAAAGAGAAACGCTTGGTTATTACTACAAGAAAAAAAAGAAATACGATTAGTACATCAAATACAATATTCTGAATACATTGCTGTTGATAATGTCGATGACATAATTAACACCAACTGTCAGACGCTAAATAATTCTCTGTACAAAAATTAGTTTTCCTTGGCGGGAAAAGAGGTTCTCTTTTACATAACCCTAAAACCCCAACCTATCTAGAGGGATAATTAACAACCAATATTTTTATTTATTTCGAATAACTTCAATTAAAGTGCCTCTAAATCTCCGTACTTATGGTCGAAAACAACAATGTTATTAACATTATTTCAACAATATTAAAAAAACAGATATAGACTTTTCCATGCTTGATGCATCGATCGAAGTACATTTTTAATATTATTGTAAAAATTAACTAATGAACTAAAAATAATTTAAAAATATGTGTAACAATCGAGGCCTTGTAAATGTTATAAAAAAACTCAAATGTTTTTCAAAACTTAGATCAGTGTTCATAGGAACGTGACGTTAGAAGTGATATGTTTTTGTATGCGTTACATAAGTTAAAAAAAACTAAGAAACAAAATACATACCTCTGTGCCGTGTTGATATATGGGTGAATACGTAAATAGTGGCCACCTTTTTGATATGGAGTTGTGACCGTTGGTAAATGTCTTTTCTAAAAAAAATTGTACATTAATCCTAGAACGTAGGTACATGCAACATTAAAGATCAATACTATCTAAATTTTGATATGAATTATTTTTGATAAAGTTCGACAAATTTAATTATAAGACATTGGATTTCTAAATTTTTCAATATTTTTTTTTTAAAAATAGCCTACATACAGGGTGATTCTTTTATCACGAACCACTCAATATCTCATAGGATTTAATAAGAAATTACATTTTTTATACAATGTTGTTATACAATGATATCTCAATTTTTCACATTTTTGTTTTGTTTTTACACCCCTCCCGCAACTTATTTTTTTTTATATCAACTTTTGAAACTTAAATGGTAACGTATATATTTGATTACCTTTTTAAATAGAGAATATTGTATTACAAATTTTGAATGATCGATAACCAGTTTCGGATAACTATTTTTGAAGTTATAAGAGTTTAAAAGTTAGGATGGGAGGGGACGTGTAGTGTAGTATTATTTTTATCTGCGCATATTTCCCAACCGCACTTCCCCTCCCATCCTAACTTTTAAACTCTTATAACTTCAAAAATAGTTATCCGAAACTGGTTATCGATCATTAAAAATTTGTAATTCATTATTCTCTGTTTAAAAAAAAAATGTGAAAAATTGAGATATCATTGTATAACAACAATATGAAAAAAAAAATTATTTATTAAATCCAGTGTGATATTGACTGGTTCATGATAAAACAATCATCCTGTATTTATGTTTATACTATAATGTATACATGTATACATTTTTTAATTTTTATTAATGTAATTCACCGTTGACACTGCTTAGTATTTCAGAAAAGTGCATAGACGGTGTATCGTCCTTGAGCACGTTAATTTGAATAAAAATAAGAACAAGAAGGCCGAATGAGATGGAACATAAAATAATAATAGGGCTAAAAACAAGAATAAACCCGATGACGAAGAACAGACCGTTTAAATTCAATAGGTTACACCGGTTATACGACCAAGAGAAAAAACTATGCATCGCGCATCGTCGGGAGAAAAGGTTCACACGAATCGTTCTCTTTTATGTCTTTATTATACAACTGCTGCTCGTTTATGCTGAAAGTAAAGCCCAGAAAAAGAAAATAGATGAAAATAGAAGGGAAAAACCACCGTAATACTTTTCCTATCAAGGGTCTGTCGCTCCCTTCATAACAGCGCTACTTTCTGTCAAAAGTTTTTTTTTTTGTAAACGATAATGAATTGAAACCAATAAAATAAGAACGAAATTTATTATTTTATTGAATTTAACAAAATGTGTATATTTTATAGTAAACATATTAATCAGTATGCGTTTTTCGTTACAACCCGTCACGTATAGACACAATTAAACGTAAGACGTGAACGACCCTTTTTTTTAAATATCAATAAAAAATACAATAGTAAAAAAAAAACTGAAAAGTGTTTTAAAACAAATTAAATAATTATTGTAAATATATATTCATCATAGCAACCGATTTTGTCAATATTTGTATACACACAATATCAATAGTATATTCATTAATTTATCTTAAACGTCTTATGTTCAAAACGGTTTTCTTAGAATAATAATAACTTAGAATTAATTTAATAGAATAAGTTAGGATTATTAGGTATGTGATACATATTACATATTATTATCTAATTGACATTAAAAACAGCTAAACAGTAATTTTAAAAAATCTTAGCTGTAAAGACAAATACTCGATCGTACTTACTGAAATCCGATTTTGCTCGTTAAGCTGAATTACCTATAAAAACTGAAAAACATAAAATTGGCACCAGCACTTAAGAAAATGACTTCACTCAAAAGGACACTCCGCATATATGCATACCCAAGAATAAAGAAAGGATCAATTACCTTCAGTAAAACAAACTACATTGTTAACATAATATAAAGTATAAACAGACGTATTTTGTGAATGGTACCTTTTTTTTTTTTTCCACGTGCATCCATAGAGATCCGGGGGAACCAGCCTGGTAGGAGGCATTACTTCCCCCCGTGTCACCGATGCCATTTACTGTTCAACAACAATTTCTACAACTTTAATGAGAGGGAGTTCCACGCACCCTCTCTACAATTGACTAAAATTAATTATTTTTCTTTAATCTAACACATCCCCTCCTGCAGGAAAATGTGTATACAAATTACAATAAACTACTTTATACAAAATTTACATGCTTAATAATATTTCTACACTATTTATTTACACTTATCGGTGGTAAGTTCTCGGGCCGATGACGCACGCACCCGCCTTTTGTCCACCTTGACTTTTAGCCGTTTGGACGGCAATAAAATTGTACTTGGTTATTTATTTTTATTTATATATACATTATCATATTTTTAAAAACTAGCACCTATAAAGTCTGTTAGTGACTAATACGATCTAACGATTATTATATCAACAAAACATACGGACAGTATTTTTAAAAAAATGTATACGGGTCATGTACGTTATATTGTTAAACTCCAAATTTTGTAGCTTTTAGTTTTTCGATTTACATTAATGTTTCCAATTGGCGTTTTATAAACGCAACAACGCACGCCTACCTAATAAAAAATATAATTTACCTACCTACTATTATCCTAGTATTATATTTTAAGTAGAATTTCGTGTTGTAATGGTCCGCGCAATGGCCAGAACACATAGTGGTAATTATTATACCGATTACTTCACCAAGTTTGTATACCTGTAGTTAGTCGACCATACCTATAATTTTTCTTACCCTTCTCCCAACTCCTCGCCTTAGAACAATAGCCACCCAGGATTTTCCTTTATAGAAGGAGCTTGATTAATGTCTCCGATTAGATTCTCTCGTATTCATAACTATAGAATCAAATTTTATTAAGTCATTATTAGGTTTGCCCACTGGCTATAGAGCGCGAAATAATCACGCGATTACACGTACCTCAAAACCAACAGCTAACTTATTTTATCATAATATATACATAACGCACATACAGTTGATTACAGACTTATCATTAAACTAATCGATTTCATTTGGTCGTTAAAACTGTTAAATGGCTTTAATACATAATAGTATACATATTATTTTTTATATTTATATTTATTTTTTTAGTAGTCAATTTATACTTCAAGTGAAATGTCAGGAATTAGGAAATGGTAGAAAATAGAAAAGGGGGTTACAAGGAAATATCGAAAATAGCAGTGAGTAAGGAAAACAAATAAAGGAAAATAAGGGGTTAGAATTGCGGTTGAGAGAAAAGAAAATCAGAAACTAGACGAAAGTGAGGTGTCTAATGAAGAATATCAACAAGTGTTAGTAGGGGAAGAAGACAGAAAAGAAAGATACAAACAATATTTCAGTTAGTTAATGAATATAGAGCTTTCAATCGAAGCAATATATCCAAAAGCGCCAACACAGAGGGACAGGGGAGACAGACCCTCCCCTAGCTCCTCTGCAAGCTAAAAAAATGATATCCAATATCCTAAATTCTCAAAATCGATTACAAAATCATAAATGCCCCCCCCCCAGAATTTTCACATATAAGTACCCTTAAATACACCGTGGAGTAAAGGGTTTGTTAATAACATTTGTAAAAAGGTGACCAAATAACCAGATGTATTTCCTGTGGAAGTATAAAAAGCGATGGAAAGTAAAATAATTATTATAATCAGCA